CCCCCCGGTCTTGTCATAATTTTTTACGTTCGTGGTTGTTCTCGTTTCTCTCCTGGCGCTGCTGCGCCTGCGTGAGGACGAGCAGTGCGTCGGGGGGCCTTCGCCGAGAATAATGGCCACGCCAAAAGTTGCCAACCCGATGGACGCGAATTAAAAACGTGCCAGGTGCGCGCTGGCAAATGTTAAACTGGGCCGCCCGCGACGTTAAGTCTGGGCCGTCATCTGTGTGTTGCCCTCGCACCCCAAGACCATAATTTTTGGGAGGCCAGAGTACATAATGTGTTCTGTATGCACATTTTGCACAAAACCTGTAATTCGGAAGGGGGGATTTTTACTCGTGGCCGTTTTGTTGTCGGGCCCGGGCTTCCTCTCCTTATTTTATCGTTTCTCGGACGCAACTGGATGATCCCCCTGGTGCTCACAGACGGCCGTGTTTTCCTATTACCGTTTTCTTATTTTCGTGGACCGCAGGGGTCGGGCTGGGAGAGAGGGCGTCCACCACTCCGTCCACGACAACGGCTGCGGGGGTTTGCCTCGGCCTCGCCTGCCCCGCGGCACGGCTGCATACGAGAGGGCGTTGTCCCCCGAGCCGGAGAAATGGTGCAGGCCTAAGAGGAGGCGGAGAGGGGCTATACAACGGCGATATTGTGAGGCATCGCCTCAGCTGTCCCATATTTCGCGTCCATCGCCACGCCCTGGCTCCCCCCCTCGCGTCGCGCCGCGGCCCCGCCCACCCATCATACAAATTCCCACACACTTACGGGTAATGACACGCACATATACACACACGCGCGCATTGTCTCTCTCTCTCGCTTCGTCTCTCTCCCTCTTCCTTCTCTGTCTCTCCCTCTCCCTCTCTCTCTCCCCTATCCCTATCCCTCTCCATCTCTCGACCACACGCATGGGGCATGTGGGTTTCACACGCGTGTATTGACACATGTGCGCGGCGCCGCCGGCGCTCCTCCCTCCCTCCTCCCTCCCCCCTCTCTCTCTCTCTCTCTCTCTCTCTCTCTCTCTCTCTCTCTCTCCCCTTCTGCCGCTCCCATGCCAACATAATGTTCTCCCTGGTGTTGTCTTGCTTCCCCTCCTCCACCTGCCGCGCTAAGCCACACTCCGCCCAATCGCTTTGACAGACGCTCCATCACACCGAGGTGCCATTCATATTCAAAACGGGGGACCGAAGCGGCGCGGCGCGGAAGGGCAAGCGGTTTAGTCGCCCTGCGCTGCAACTCCGCGCACGCCCCTGCCAGGTATGACTTTCAGCCCCCTGCCCCCCCCCACTACCACCACCAAACCCCGCCTGAGCCGCGGATTCTGCTGAGCGTAAACTTTTGAGCCTGGCACACAAGGGAGGCGTGGGGCAGCGCGGCGGGGTGGCGCGCGTCCAGGCGGGGGTACTAAAAACCAAACGACGGCCCCAGACTGACGCGAGGGAAGGGGTGGGGCACCCGGGCGCGGGGGGGCTGTCTCGAGTAGGCTAAGGGGGGAGGGGGCTGAGGGGGCTGCTTATCAGCCGAGCAAACGACCGGCAGCTCGTCTTATCGGAGACACTAACCCTTTCACACGGACAACACGGGATGGATTTTACCCTTCTTTCGCCTTTTGTGTTTCTTTTTTTTTGTCTGTTACGGAGTGGGATGTACAACGCAGTTGAGGGCGTCGAACTAGTTTGGGGAAGGGCACGGGGTGGCCAATACAGCGTCCTGGTAGAAGGTGCCGTGGCAAATAGAAACTAAAGCAATATCAGCGCTGTACCGCGCCTGACGAATGTTCAGCCGCTACGCCCTGCCGCGCGCCTCGCTTTAGCCCAACAGATTAAAGAGGACAAATAATAAAGAAAAAAGTTCGCTTCAAGGTCGGCCTTGGGGAGAAAGAAGTTCTCCTGGCATCACGACTCTGCCCCGCGCCACCTGTGAGCAGCTGCACTCAGAGCGGCGCCTTCCCATGGCAACAGCGGCGGAGTCGGAAATTTGTCATCGCCATAACAAGCGACACGGAGCCATATTGAGTTTGGAGTCGCACGACGGCGCAGCGGTTCAAGGACTCCAGGGCGGCTCCAGGACTCCAGGGCTGCAAGTGGTGCGCCTGGCTCCGCTACATGCCCACTACTGTCCGTTTCCGGTTGGCGCCTCGGACGTGCCCGCCCCGCCCCGCCCCACCGGAACCGGCGATAAACAAGGAGCTCCAAAACACTTCCGGCGCGGCGGTCTGATCGGAAGCGGAAGCAGCTCGGCGAGCGGAGCGGCGCAACGGAGGAAATGGGAATTGAGTGGGAAATGAGAATGAATAAGGGCGAGGTAAGGACGGTTGGGGACGGTCAGGAAGGAAACAATGTGCTGCGTTGCGCGAGGACGGGGCGGAGGGCGCGGGCCGCGACGAGGTACCAGCCACAGCCGGGAACTCATTCCGCTCTCCTTAGCCGAACATGAGGTGCGAGGTGGGGGCGGAGGGGCGCACAACTGATATCAAAAATAGCAACTTCCACCGGGCGGGGCGAAGCGGCGCCGCGCTCCGGTAAAAAGTGATCGATACTTCTGCTGTGCGGCACGGGATGGCACGGAGCCAGGCCGGGGGGCCTTAGGAGCGGCCTCCGAGGGCCTAGTGAGTAGGACCTGGCGGCACAGACTCGCTAATAAACCTGAGGCGTTAATGTAAAAAATATGCGGAAACGGGTACGTACGGAGAAAATCGGGTCGATTGTCGGAACGTTCAGTTCGTGATTTATCCGTGGTCACTACGGACAAACCATAAGGAGGTTTTCCGTAGTGTGTTCGTTCACCACGGATTGTTTTACACGCAGTGAAACGAGCGCGACAGTAGTTTAACTGTACAGCAAAATAAATGACAGTTTAACTAGATAACTAGAAGCTTTTTTACAGTTTAATCTGCGAAACTCAGATGTTTTACAGTTAACACGTTCCGTTAAGCTGTGCACCGTAGGGCTTGGAAAACCCAGCAAACCAAGAACATTGAAAAATTGCATCATTTGGTGTGCAATTTTCTACATTTGTGTTTCTAGTGTTTCACTACAGACAGAAATATGATTACAATGAACCGGCTCCGTAGCCTTCGAAGTACACTGGAAAAACAAAGGTGTGATGTCCTACCTTTCCAGGGGTGTTAAACTCTTTTCAGGGGTGCTAAAGAGTATATTTTCAGTTTCTTCAAAACATTTTCTATATGAGCAAACCAATCACATTTTGAGATTCGTTATCGCATTCCTCGCAAAATTCCGCGTCAAACGAGCCTACATGTGATAGGGTTCAGATAAGCGGTCAGCAAATGAAAAGCAAGTCAAAAAGTACAAAAAATGAAATCAATCTATGCCATTTTTGAACAGAACCCCATCATATGTAGGCTCGTTTGACGCGGAATTTTACGTAGGTTACGAAAATAGGTTTCAGAATCCAATTTTGTTCCTTGGGAAAGAAATATTTCGAAAAAACATAACTTGTAATGCCTTTGGAGCTTTAAAGCCTTTTAAAGGTAGAATATCCTTCCTTTGTTTTACCAGTGTATTTCTTTGTAAGACGAAGGAAAAGTGGTGCTGATCAGGTCGTTGTAACGTAACGTAACGCGTAGCGAAAACACACTAAACCAGAAATAAAATGCCACTTAAAAAGCGTTTTAGAAGAGTTTTCACACTTTTTTCCGAACATCATACATGAGATTCTTTTTGAATTTCTTTCAAAACTTTTCAAAAACGCATGAAATTTGGAATGTTATTTTCGTTCTTATGCGTTTTTGTTAGGCGTTTCGTTACGTCACGACACCCTAGTGCTTACGGACGCGTAGGAAGCAGTGCTCCAGCTGTGTTCAACTAGCGGGCCAACCGAGGCTGAGGCCGAGGTCAAGACACTTACGCGGCCAGTCAGGCGGCAGCGGCGCGGCCAGCAGCGCGAACACGGGTAGTCGCCATTCCTGGAACAGGTAGAAATCAGCTGTCAGTTTGGAACGATTTCACACTGGGGTCCACTGGGTCACTACGTCTCACAAGTAAGACACGTGAGTGTTTTGTTTTCCACGAGCTGCCCCGTCGAGTCAGCGTCATTCACAGCGCCCCCTTCCCCTCCCCTCTCTGTCTCTCTCTGGTTTACTGTTCCCCCATAAGCACGCTCTTCCCTTCCTCTCTCTGTCGCACTCATCACAGGTGCCGCGCGCGAGGGTTACTCGGTTATACGACCAGCAGTAACGGCGAGCGGCGTCAAACAGTTTGGAACACCTGCGAAACACCCCTTCTCACACTATCTCTCTCTTTCTCTCTCCAATCTCTCTCTCTCCCTCGTCCACGTCTGGCATATGTCATACCCCAATCAGTCTTGCGTTTCCAAAGGACACTGCACGCGCGTTTGCAAGAGGCAAATTTTTGCAAATCCTTGGACAATGGCAGGACACAGGCCTCGTCCCCCAGGACACGCAGGAAAGGCCTGCGAGTCCTACGGCCGGCTGGACGGCAGGACTTCGCACGGAATACGGAATGTCGTCCATTTTTAATACCACCCACCGAAGACCAAGGCGAAGGCAAGAGCAAGGAAAGGTCCTGTGGAGGAAGAGGAAGAAACTGAGTGAGCGCGTACACGCGCGCACAAACAACAAACACACGAACGTACGAACAAACAAACAAACGAAAGCACGGGCGCATAGTCACACAGATAGAAGGGAAGCCTCAATTTTGTCGTAAAAAGAGGATTATTTGAGTGGCACCAAAACACTCGAGGACGTTGATATACGAAACGTGGATTATTGTCTTATTGGCTGCTGTGCTCGTGCGCTCTAATCTGCTGATAAACACCACCACCATGTGTCTGTATGTGGTGTGTGTGTGTGTGTGTGTGTGTGTCTGTGAGAGCACGCGCGTGTCTGGTCTCGGGGCGTAAGCGGTGGGACGAAGGAAAGCAAAGCTACTTATATCGTGTCAGCTGCAGGACTTTTTCCTCTTTTCATCCCCTTTTCGCTCCCTAAGAAAGCCGGGGACAGCGTTCGCTGAATGAAAGCAGTGACAAGATCAAGACGCGAGCTATACTCCAGTTTTTCTTACCACCCCCATCCCTCTTCATCTCTTTTACCTCCTCTCTTCGTCCCTCCCTCCCTCCCTCTCTCTCCCTCTCTCGCCTACGCAGCAGACGGCATGCGAAAACCCACTTAGCTTGGCTCAATAGGAAACTCTTCACTGGTGAAATGAAATCCAGGCCGACTCGAGTGGCTTGGCAGGAAGGGAGAGATGAAGTGAGAGAGAGAGAGAGAGAGAGAGAGAGAGAGAGAGAGAGAGAGAGAGACCGACTACTTGAAAAGAAACCCCCGAATACGAGGCATTCCTGCTTAGTTGTTACGCCCTATGGCTAAGGAACCAACGGGTTGGAGAGTGGGGCCAGGCGGGGCTATTCCGCTGGACCAAACGGAACGGAAGCGCAAGGAAAAAATGAAAGTAGGAAAATGTTAAAGAAATAAATAATTGGAATGGAAAGAAAAGCGGTGCAGCGAACGACGTTTCTGTGGCACTGAGGCTTGAGGGACACTTTAGAAACTGTGCTCAGAGCTCGGCCGTGCTGGCTTCATTTGCTTGCTAAATTTTTCTGACAGATATTAAAGAGAGAATTTGTATGTTTCGTACAGGCTTAAGGCCACATGACTCGTACGTGGCTGTGCGGTGACGTTTAGAGAAAACCATCACCATAACAATTGTCCCATCGTTTGGGCCTTCAACGGTTTGACATATGGCTTTCTAAAAATATGCAAAAGACAAATTTGGGTTATACCAGGTGGCTCATTCACGCCGCGCACTTCTGTAGTTATGATGTACCGCATGCATGAGTGCGGGCGGGTTGCCTACTCGCTCGGCTCGTAAGGCGCCGTGGACAGGGGCGATAGGCAAGCCCGCCCGCACTCGTGCGTGCGGTACAGTAT